AATCTCAATTGGTTCTAACGGGATTTTAATTCGATTCTAATTGATTTTAAAAGGAATTTTACTTAAATTTCAATTGATTCTAACGTGATTTTAATTCGATTCTAATTGATTTTAAAAGGAATTTTACTTAAATTTCAATTGATTCTAACGGGATCTTAATTCGATTTTAATTGACTTTAAAAGGAATTTTACTTAAATTTCAATTGATTCTAACGGGATCTTAATTCGATTTTAATTGATTTTAAAAGGAATTTAAAGGCGGCCCTACCAAATCCTTTCAATAAATATTCCCTCCTAATAATAAATAATTTCTGACCCCGCGGATTATTCATTATTAAGGGGGGGGGCGGGGACGTCTTTTATTATTAGGGGGAAGCGATTACATCCCAAGCAGCTGGGGACATTGCAATGCTAGAGAAGATATACAATCTCACTTACCCCACCCACCAGAAAGAGGCAACTCTCATCCGAGGGTCCAACAAGGCACAAGCAAACGCGTCCAGCATCCTCACGGCCTCACGGCGGTCTTCCTTCCCTGCCTCATAAAGATGAGCAAAGCTGTCAGCAAGGATCCACTGGTGCCGCCCGCAATCTCTTTGAAGGAGCTTTGAGGTATGGGTCAGAGAATGACACATGTGTTACATGACGCTCATCCAGCGCATGACCCATCTTCAGCAGCATTCTGGGGCGAGTTTCACTTGATCTTTTTTGTCAGTACCTCGGCTGTTTCGACACCGCAATCACTAGTCTGCAGCACTGGCAACGTCATTCCGGAACTACAGCCCACAGAGTAGCGTAGCTGATAGTCCGCACAGCTTCGGCACGTGGGATGAAACGGTCCGCTTCACTATTGCTACGATATCTGCTGCTGTTCCCTTATCAGTGCTACGGGTTGTGTTATCGTCATTAATCGTATTATGGTTTCTATGCTTTGGGTTGCTGCATATTTGTTCTGAATGTTGTGCCTGCGGTTGATATCACCCATTGCCCTGCAGTGACTAAGTGTTATTACCCTAATGACTTGTTATTGCGGCTGCCGTATTGTTTTTTTGCCAGAATTGTTTTGAGTTTTCTTGTTTCGAGTACTATTACAATTGCCATTGCTACTCTTCTCGTCATGGTTCTTCTTGTTGTCAATTGCTACCACTGTTGTCAAGAGATGCTCAAATTCTTGTTATTGTCGCCATTTCTGTTATTCTTATTCTTTCTTCTTTACATATTCACGTTTACTGTGACACTGGTCACGCATCACTCTGCCAACTGCTGGTGCTTCATGTTTATCTATGCTGGTGCTGCTTCGTCTTCGCCCCCTGCTCCAAACCCTCCAGCCCCCCTGAAGAAGCTGTAGTCTATGGGGCCTCCGACAAGCTTCAAGTGCTGGAATATTCTGGATGCCCGGAGGCAATTTTTGCTGAACGCAACCAAAACACTACATGACAAAAGGAGCATCCCAAATTGATTTTGTGTTCAGCTTGTTAATGCCTCGCGTTCATTCGAAGCCTTCCCCACCCGCAGTGGCTTTCGGAGTGCTACGTCAGTCTGTCTTAAGCCTCTGTGGGCAAGAAGACACGCGACAGTTGGGATCCCATACTCCAGGTACTCACGATGGGCAGGCAAGCTCACCATGTCGCGGACAGCCAGAAGGTTGATCAGCACGTCCGCCAGCAAGAGAGCAACGCGGAACGTGACATGTTCAGGAGACACTGATTGAAACCGTCACGAACTTGTGTGAGGCATGTATGCGGAACTGAAGCTAACTTGGCTCCTGAACCCTGGAAAATGAAGGTTGTCCAATCGAGGCGCCGATCTGGCAGACATTCTGGCGCTTGGCCTCCAAGTCTACCTTCTCAAGTGCATGAGCAAGTGCAGTTGTCCAGCAGAACGGCGTGCTGCTAGCTGCAGGTGGTCCTGATCAGCCGCAACGTCATTGAAACTTTGCCTGAGATGGACTGCACTCCTAAAAGGCGAAAGCAGAAGTGTCCAAGTTTCATCGCTGTCCCGAAGGACCGCTTGAAGGCTGAAATAGCCTCAATTGTGAAGGCAGAGGTTGGCTTGCATCCGCCAGTAGACCAGACGGCGGCATCGAGAAGCATCCAACAAAACTTGCAGGCCAAGAGCAGAAATCGCAAGCCACTGGCCACAGAGGCCATGGCTTGTAATGTTTATAGCTTGTGCAAGCGCGTGCCGCAGCATGAGGGCTCAGAGCATGGGTCGGGTTTCTGTCTTCTGCCCAAGGCAAGTCTTGATCTCATGGTACACTTGGCTGGAACAGGTGGAGCCGCGACTAAAGTCGGAAGCGACCAAAGCGCTCTTCAAGCGTTTGCCTCGCTTTGTGGGGCCCATGGAAATCAAACGTCTTCTTGATGTACTACGTCATCCTATCTGCAAGCAATGCATGCCTGAGATAAGGTGCAAAACAGTATGATTCGCAGTTGCGAATGTGGCGGCCTCATGCTTGCACTTGCAATGTTTCAGCCAGATCATTTGTTGGTCATTGCCTTGCCGTTTCGCATGGCCTAGCCTCCGGCAGCGCTGTCCTGCCAAAAGACCTGGAAGCAGCTGCTGCCTCAGCTGCGTTTCAACGATTTCCTGCCATCGCGAGTTCTTCACATGCTCAAAGGAGCGGATTCTTGGCCGCTTTGTCCAGCAAGAGCTTCGTAATCAACCGCCCGTCAAGAAGGCAAGTGGAAGACTCTAGCCTCTAGCCAAGCTTCTTGTGGCGACAGTATACGGTCAAGTGTTGCCAGCGTTGCCATGTCGCAGGTCAAGGCAACATTCGCTCCGCGTTTCCATGCGATGGACTTGATGACCAGCTCACCGCTGCAACGGACTTAGCGGAAAATGAAACCTACGGCCCAGCATAGCCTTGGAATGCCTTGGATTTCTTCGCACGAGGCAGTATTTGGTCTTTCATGGTTCACCTTACGTTTCGGCCAGGCCCTCCGCGTTTGACTGCGCTTTCGGGCATGGCTCCCAAGCATTCCTAAGAAGTTCCTGCATTGTCATGGTTAGATGTCGCCAGACGGGCATGTATTCGGAGTATTCGGTTGGAGATGAGGTATGCGTTGGGGCACACTGCTGCCCTGCTCGTGCATGAGCGCCGGAATTTCTATGTTGCCTGCTGTGCAGGCGTAGCTTCCTGTGTGGCAGTGAGTCGACCCATGAAGCGTATGTCCGAGGTATGCACCGCAACACCTGCTACTGGGAGCCTTGCGCCATTCCTTTCACGTACTTGTACCCAGAGGTGTGGCCCGCTGGAAGCTTGAACATGACTCAATTTGCCTTCTGGAAGATGCGAGTTTTGAGGCTGCAGCAGGCTCAGTCTAATTATGCTGCATGTCGCTGGCAGGTGATGTGGGTGGAAGCCTAGTTTGCCTGGCATTTTGTGATAGCTCCTGACTTGAGAAAGTTTTAACCCGACACCTGGTAGCAGCGCAAAATTTGCAACACACGCAAGACAAAAGCATGTGACTGCCATGGCAGCTCCCGCTTTAGCAAAGCTAAAAAACGCGGATGGCTATGAAGACGTCGCAGCTCTTCCGCACGGAGTTGATTTCAATGGGTATGACCCGGTAGGAAGTGCGGCAGGCCACCCTCTGCGAGGATAGACTAGCGATGCATGCGAAGAAGGATTTCCATCCGTCCGCAACAGACACCGTGGGCTGCCCAGAATGCCTGTCAAAACCTCAAGGCAGCCCGAGTGAAACCGTCGGCAGCGGCTGCCTGGGAGTGCGCCTCAGCACTCTGTATGCCAGTGAGTCTAGTCATGAAGCGTCGCAGAACGTGTTTGAGGATATTCCCAGTGGCAGTTTGGTCGAGGTGCTTGAGGCACGTTCGCCTTTCGGCATCTTGTGGTCTGTCAGCACCTGTGGCACCAGAATGCCAGTCTGACAGGAGTGGGTAGATTGTGAGTACGGCAAGAGCCGAGGCATGTGGCATTGCTGAGGATCTCAGGAAATTCCTACTTTCGAGCTTCAGGCTTCATCAAATCAAAGAACTTGCCTTCTGTTGCAGCAGCTGTGCCTGGTGACTGCCTGGAGGTGGTCTCCTTCCATTAGGCTTGACCATGTCCTGTTGCCTGTGCCAGGTGCGCGACAGCTATGCAGGCATGGTTGCATTGGGCACAGAGGCACAGTGCAGCACAGACAACGAGTCTCTTCCTCGTCAGGTAACGTGGAGACTTGCATGCGAAGGCATTGTGAGCAGGACTCCTCGACAGGTGCCGTAATACATGTTTGTCTGGATAGTCACCATGCGAACTGCCTCATCGCGCCAGGTAACGTCGTTTGCTTTGTCCCTAACGGACCAAAAGCGGTGAAACTGGTGGAGAGATGGGCTGAGTGCAGGAAGCGTTCAGAATCGCAGAAGAAACCCAATGGCCACTTTACGCAGGTGGCGTGGCCACAAGATGTTCGTGAAAGCTCGGCACGTTGAGCCTGCGCCTGCCGGTTCCAGCTTGGACCCTGCAGCGTGGCAATCAACGAAAGCTTGTTACCCACTGCAATAATGGTTTTATGCCACTCTTGCGACTAGGGCCATTGCGACCAGGGCCAACGTGTTTCTGTCACAGCCTGCAATGAAAAGCCAAAAAAGGCATATCATATCGTAGCAGAGTGGTGCCTACACTGGTGCTCAAGTTCAACGGATGCTCTCTGGTGCTTTGGGATGGAAGTCAAGGTAAGCCACGCCGACCTGGCCAAGCCATGTGCGCGGGCAAAGGGGTCGAGCTCGGATCTTGGGGACCGGACATGCATTCTTGTGCAGAGGTCTTGGCCAAACATGACCAGGCAAGGATGACGAGGCACCGGTAGAGCCACCTGCGAAGCGCATCAAGAAAGGCGATGCTTCATGCTCTTGCATCGGTTTGCCAGAGACGCACAGACCACGCCATGCAGGGCGGCCTCCATGCAAGCTGCTGCCACAGATTCTGTGTGGTGTGCTTGCCTTGCACCACCTCATGGCAAGATGCTTCCGGTCAGAGGTACGGGGCAGGCTGCTACCAGAAGAATCCGCTTCACAGAGCAAAGTCTGAGCCACATGGGGTTTGAAGCTGCTGCAGTGTGTTTGTTTGCTGCTGGCCCCGAGATTCTCTCATCCTGGTGATCCTGAATTTGGTGCGGATGTTCCTGAAATTGCGAGCTCGTCAGCCCTTGCCGGTCCTATGGACGTCGCGGGTAAGCCAGCGACGGACGTGACTATGGACGATGCAGATGTTGATGCGGTGCCTGCAACATCCTCGACAGATGCAGACACAGCCGCAGCAGCCGCAGCAGAACCCGGGCCCGAAGCTGCACCAGGTGCTCCAGGTGCCCCAGCTGCTGCAGCGGCTCCAGCAGCTCCAGAGGATCCACCGCTGGCTCCCCCAGCCGTTCCTCCTCCCGTTCCTCCCATTCCTCCCGCTCTGCCTGAGGTACCCGCTCCCAGCACGGATGCCGCAGCGCCAGCTGAAGTCGCTCCAGCCATTCCGGCCGAAGCCAAAGAAAGTCAGGATCTCAGTGACTGAGTACCACTGCGTGGCTTTCAAGCACTGCAGCTGCTTTAATGAATGTAGACTTCTCACTATCGACTCAACAGGCCGTGACTGCGATTGCTGCTTTGACAATGTGCCCACTGCGGATGGAACTTGCTGTCCGAGCAAAGCTCACTTCTTCTGTGCGGCTTGCCTCGCCAACTTTCTAGACGCATTCAAGACAGCAGATTATGCGGATCAGAAGATTCACGGCAGCAGCATCCTGCAGTCGCAGCGGCGAAGATGGCGAAGCACGTTTCTTTGTGTATGCTGTCTGCGACTTGGCAAGTTGTTGGACGTTGCCTGCACCTTAGGAAAGCAAAAGGCAGAGCTCTCTGTCCCATGAAGGCTGGCTGGGGATGCTTGACCACTCAAAAAGCTTCCTTGTTCAGTTGTGTGAACATAGGATTCTGACACTCCTTTCGGGGACGGAGTGCTGGCCGCGATTGTGCCCCAGGACCGGTTTCTGTGTCAGTAGTGCTGGTTCTCTGATGATTGTATTTCTGCCGCGAAATGCCTGTGCGGCTTGTCATTGCTCTGCCATTGAGGAGATTTTCGACAATTATTTGCAGATACGGATCAAAGTGGCGGAGCAGAGCATCCAGGAGCAGTTCGAGAAAGAGAACACTGCAAAGATTGAAGAACTAAAGGAGAAGTTAGCAAAAGCCACTGGAAGCTGAAGCCTGAGTCTAGGAATGCTTGTTGTGCATCTGCATGACGGAGTGTTTTAAGTATCTCAATTCTCGATCTCTCTGTGTCCAACTTTGCGCAACCCCGCAGGTGGCGAACAGCTGGAGCTGGACAAGCACCGCTTGAAGATCATTGATGACATTTTCACTCTAAAGTGCCCACGATGTGGCATGGCCTTCTTGGACTACGACAACTGCACCCTGCCAGAAAAAGAAGCAGTTGTGAAATTCGGGGCATCTTGGTGGACTGGCAAGGTAGTGCTATTACCTGCTCTGCATGCAAGTGTGGCTTCTGTTCGTTTTGCCTGGAGGCAGGGCTGCCATGCATCAAGTCTGGGCAAAATGCGCCATTCGCGTGGCCTACGGCTTCAGTCAAGCTTGCAAGCCGCATCCTCAGGACTGCGGCAAAGATGCCCACCAACACTTCTACAAGAATGGCAGCAAGTGTCCCAATGAAGGCTGACTAGGACTTGGCTCAATTCATTTTGCTGTGGGTGTGCTGTGTTTTCCAGCTACCGCCAAGTAGGCGGTGCGCTGTTCGTTGCCCACAACATCTGGCAGGGCTACCAAAATGCGCGCAAGGTCTGCAGATGTGAGCTGTATGTGACATGTCCAACGAAGCATGTGCTGCACAGAATCTCACCGCTCACAAGCAGGAGCGGCTTTTGTGCGAATATTTGGCTGGTCTGGCAGATGATCTGCGCAAAAAGGCGCTTGATGTTTTACCCTATGCGGGTCCAAGGCTGCGCTCTGTGTGAAGGTCGCGGATCTTGTAGCGCCCGATGCCAAAGACCTGGGCATCGAAATGCCAAAGGATGCGGCATCGCAGCGTCGCGTTTGCGAGTTTCAGCTACGGTCAGTACCGTGTCAGGACCTCAGCCCTGCGGGATTGATGCCGGAGGCTGTGTCGGTGAAGGAGGCTGTGTAGAGTAGCAGTGGGCGTGTTGCAGCTGATTGCCAGGCACATGGTATCCTGAGGCTAAAGCTTTCGATTCCCAGAAGGCCCCCGCGTGCCAGGTTTGATAGTACGTTATGCCATTACATGCAAAAAATATCTTTCCGGCACGCTTTGTTACCAAACGCAGTTCAACCTGCTCAGTGCTGCAGATTATCTTTCGCAACAAGTTACCATCGAGATCATGGTCTCCAATGGCTTGGTAACTTGATTGGCAGTAGTTGTTGACCAGTGTGCCCAGGCTGCGCCGCCTCATTGTTCCTCTGCAGAAAGGCTTACCAGCCACAGTGGACATTGCCTCAGACCCTTTCACACTCTCTTGCCCAGAGCTTTTATGCAGAACTCATGGCTGCAACGCACTTCCAGCAGTTTCTCAGAGCCGCGCAACTTTGAGAGTCACCATTCTCTTTTTGCATATTGCCTGGTGTCTCGCGACGCTTCAAAGCGGCCCGGCCTGACACCTTGCGCTGTACTGTAGCGTAGTGTACTCACGTGCCGTTGCCAGACCTGTATCGTTATTGTATGCAGCTTGCAGAGCGCAAGGAGCTGAAGATTCCAGATTCTTCCGCTGCCGGCTGCGCAGCGTGCATCTTCCTCCACACTGATGTGCGGCCAATCAATGAGTTGTGAGGTGCGCCTGTCCAGCCCACACATGGGACCGATTATTGCTCTGAAGGCCAACGACCAAAAGCTCATCGGGTCTGTGGTTCGTGCAGCATTTACACCGCTTGCAGGTCACCTGCACCACCTATGCGAAGGGATCTGTTGCGGCGCACCTGCCTGCCGATCACCAGGCTGGGACGGGTGATCTTCATCTACAGATCTCTCCAATCTCACCAAGAATCTGCACAACGAAGTGAGGTGAAGATCGAAGATGAGTGGGTGGAGTGTAAAGGCCGCTTTGGACTTGGCCGCGGCATTATATATATATATGAATATAAATATTTGAAAAGGCACTTTGGGTATCATTTATGATCTCGCTTCTCAATTTAGATTCAAGATTACAGAATACAAAGTGATGGAATCCCTATCCCTCTCTGATTCCTGGGGAAAAGGATTTCCATAGTTGAAATTATTTGAACGTTAAATTACTAAATCAATTTTGGACGGAGGTGGGCCTCTGAGCTCTTGTCCGTTATCCCTTTCATCCCTTGTCCCTCAATTTTGTTAGTTTAATTGGTTTGGATACTTTGAATATTTCAACAATTTGAATTATCCAGTTGATCAATACCCTTATCCCTTGTATCCTTCTTATCTTTCATCCCTCAACTGGACTAGTTTATATATATATATACTTTTGGAAGCAATTTCACACCAACTAAAACCGTTATACCGTTATACCTCTTATCCCTTACCACGACGAACTTATCCCACTTCGAAGAGATTTTATCAGCTTTTTCAAGAATACCTTCAGAGATTGGAATACTGGGGGTCTTGACGTCAGAGGCTCGTTTTGGCGTTATGCCACTTATCCCTTCTGAGACCTTGGAAAAAGGATTTCTATTATTAACATGCTTTCATGTAATCGGATTATTTTTTATACCCGGCCCGTGGCTTTCATCTTCACTCTTCACTTTTCATGCTATCCCTCATCCCGCTCATCCCTTACTCATCTCCCTCGATTCTTTTGGAAATGAGTTAATCTCGTGCATAAACCCAGCTCAATTACCCTGGGTACTCCAACTGGTTCAGGTCTTGTTTTACAAGGTCTCCATAAAGGGACTCACAGTCAAAAGGGAGAAGGAAGGCCTTGTCTTACGTGTCCAGTGGCTAAACTTGAACTTTTTCGGGTAACAGAGTGCCCGACATAAGCCGACAGGCTTACCTTGGGAAACCTCAAGTTAGAGATCTTCTTCATGTTCCAGTTGTTGTCTGTTGGTAAGATGCTTCTTGGAATTTGACCAGAATTACGTGGATGAGCGGGTCACTGATGGGAAATTGACAGGTTTTGTAGGCTCTATGGAAATTATCATGGAAACCAATTGGCGCCTATAGTTAGTTCCTTTCATAACAAGGCCACCTAACAATGAAACCGCCCGGGCTTTCACTCGCAAAAGTCAAACAGTGAACCTGCGCCGGCTTATCTGTGGTGGTGGGTGCCTTCATTTTCTTTTTGTTGCTCTGAAGCCAGGAAACTTTCCTCTTGAGCTAATCGTCTACCCTTGGGCTTGCTGGTTTTTGATTAGAATCCTAGACCGGGACCGCGGGTTGACATTATGCAGTAAAACAGCAGACAGTTTTTTTTCATCAGGGCGCCTATTTAAATGAAGCTAGGAGATAGTGTATGGTGGTGCAAAGCTGCAGTACGTGGGTGACATGAGTTCATGAGTTTATTGACTGAATTCAATTCTGTCACCTCAGTTCGTCTCGATCTTTGGACTAGCCATCTCATTTCTCTCACTTCTTCTCATTAGTGGACATGGAAACGTAGGAACAAAGTTGATGAGACGGCCATGCGACGACACCAAGGAATGAAACGATGAATGTGTCTGCAAGGGAAATACAAACCACGTATTTCATTAACTCATCAGCTAGGTTTCTTTTGGATTTTTTGTTTTAGGCCTAGCGGCAGGGGCCGGCAACGCCGCCGCCAAGCACTTGGCACGTGTGGCCTGTCAAGACGCAAA